ACAGAGCCCTGGAAGAGGCTGCCCAGGGAGGGTTTGGAGTCCCCTTCTTTGGAGATTTTCAAGACCCGCCTGGATGCTCCTGAGTAACACGCTCTGACAAGCTCTAGGCAATCCTGCTTCAGCAGGGGAGTTGGACTAGATGATCTCTATGGTCCCTTCCAACTCTAAAATTCAGTGAAATTCAGTGAAATTCTGTTGCCCCAAACTCCAGAGGAACGAGGGGTTTTAGGTGAGGCTTCTCTGAACCTCAGCACAGACTCCACAGAGCAGGAGGAGAAAAATACAGTCCCTGACGTTGGCCAGAGACAGCTCGTTAGTGACGGGGGTGAGAGCAGGTGAACGAGCTTTTTTTTCTGCATTATACAATGCACTACAAAACATGAATAATGTCCTAAATAGCAAAAGCTCGAGCAAGAAGAAAGGAAGAAAGGCACTTCAATATTCCTTCTCCTACAGGCCTGGAACAAAAAAAATATTACATCAAATCCATTTTTTAATAACAGGAATAAGCAGATGACTTCTCTGACCCAGATCAGTAACCTGGGCCTCTAAGCTGGTCCACCCAAATGTCTCTCCCAGAGATATCACTCCAAAAGCTGTTATTTATAACACAACACAGCTGTACGTTGCACTGTAAAATATGGAAACAACTTGGTCGTCACCCCCAAAACTTTAGAGCCAATTTCAGTTGAAGCCAACAGCCCATCTATGGGGTGGGGAACAACAAGATTCCCCCCAAATCTTTTCTATCCCCCCTCCATGAAGTTCTCATCGTAGCTTGACATGGGTCAGATTGACAGGTGCTTCACCACATCATGAAGAGCTGCAGAAAATAAGTCAATCCCCAAGTGAGCGAACCCGAGGCCACTTGTGTAGTCACCAGAGATAAACCAGCTCTTTGGGTCTGGTCCAACTACTCCACACAACTGGATTAGTCTAAAAGCAACCAAGTTGTAGGAGTAACTCTTTCTGCTGTGACAGAGGGCATCCAGGATGACCCTGGCTCGGATGCAGAACACACCACAGACAGCTGCATCCACCCAACCATCCATCCAACCATCACCACGGTGGCTTTCCTAGGATGGGAGTAGAGCACAATCCTTGTGCCCAGCCAAATTCCTGATGGTTCTAGCACTGCCTTTGGAAAAGAGAGGCTGCAGCCATCAGGAGTGAGCTCCCCCCTTTCAATAAAGCTGGGCCCATGAGAACCTCATGAAGTTTTTTGCCCAGGAAAGTTGTGGCTGCCCCATCCCTGGAGGGGTTCAAGGCCAGGCTGGATGGGGCCTTGAGCAACCTGGTCTGGTGGGAGGTGTCCCTGCCCATGGCAGGGGATCTTGGAGGTCCCTTCCAACCCAAACCATTCTATGATTCTAAGTTCAACAAGGCCAAGTGCAAGGTCCTGAACAAAGATGCTGGGAGGACAGGCTGAGAGAGCCGAAGGGTTCAGCCTGGAGAAGAGAAGGCTCCAGGGAGACCTCAGAGACCCTCAAAGGGCTCCAGAAAAGCTGGGGAGGGACTCTGGATCAGGGAGGGGAGCCATAGGAGGAGGGGGAAGGGTTTGACCCTGAAAGAGGGGAGATGGAGATGAGATATTAGGAAAAATTCTTTACTCTGAGGGTGGTAAGACCCTGGAACAGAGAAGCTGTGGCTGCCCCATCCCTGGAGGGGTTCAAGGGCAGGTTGGAGGGGGCTTGGAGCAACCTGGTGTGGTGGGAGGTGTCCCTGCCCAGGGCAGGGTGGGTGGAACCAGATGATCTTTAAGGTCCCATCCAACCCAGCTTATGGTTCTGTGAACATCACTGAGTACATGTGGAACCAGTACACTTGCCCCCCCAGTTGTGCTTATCACCACCCTGGACACAAGTGATGCTTTACCTGCCCTGTCCCACAGCTGGACAGAACACACACCCCCCCACCCACTGAAGAAAACAAGGACAATATTGATACAGAATCACAGAATCACAGAATCTTCTAGGTTGGAAGGGACCTTAAAGATCATCTTGTCCAACCGTCAACCTGACTGACAAAAATAGACACCCACACAACAAACAAGGAGCATCATCACTAAACCAGACCTCCCAGCACTACATCAACCCGGCTTTTGAACACCTCCAGGGATGGGGCCTCAACCACCTCCCTGGGCAGCCCATTCCAA